CTAAGCCTTTCTTCCCCCCTCCTTCTTTTTTTTTTTTTTTTTTTTTTTTTTGGTCTTTTTTTTGAGGCAGCGTCTCCCCTGTAGCCCCAGCTGTCCTGGAACTCACTGTGTAGACCAGGCTGGCCTTGAACTCACAGAGGTCCGGCCTGCCTCTGTCTCCCAAGTGCTGGGATTAAAGGTGTGTGCCACCATGCCTGGCCCATCCTTTCTATTCTGAGACAGGGTCTCCCTCAGTTCTCCAGGTTGGCCTAGAGCTCTCTTGAAGCACAGTCTGTCTTTGGGCCTCGCTTGGCCTCTGGAGTAGCCCAGATTACTGGTTTACATCCCCAGGTCCTGCCTCTGTGCAACCTCTAGGGCTTCCTGTGGATGTGAGGGCCACCCAGGCTCTCCACCTGCCAATCACCACCTCTCACCAGCCCTTCTGAGTTGGGGACCAAGTCCTTACCACAGGGAGGAACACAGGCCTGGGCTGTGGAGAGAAAGGAGGTATTAGGAACCAGGGCATCATGGAGGGATCCACCCAAACTCCTCCAGGGAGTCCTCCCCTCCAGAGGGCAGGACCCAGGCTCCCAATGCTACACTTGGGTGGTAGAGCCAGAAACACTGTTCCTAAGGGACAGGGCCAATTCACCTCGCTTCACCCAGAGGGTAAATAAAGCAAGGCCTAGTGTTTCAGTCACAGGGCCTATCGCTAGGGATCTAAGAGGGGTCACATGGGGGTGGGGTTTCCATCCTAGGTGTTCCTTCAGGGTACCTGGGACTAATTAGGAAGCCTGAGCTAGCATAGAGGTGTAGCCGGGCTAGAAGCCAGTCACTGTGGACACACAATTAGAGGTGGCTGCCTTTGAGCACAGGGCTAAGAATCCCAGATGAGGCCTGGGTGGACATTGGTCAGGACTCCCCCTAGATCCACTCTAGGACAGGAAACCCACTGGTCCCAGGGTTTAAGGCCAGATGTACAGTATAGTTCAGACAGCTCATGTGTGCATGTTGTGCATGTGTGCATATGCGTGCATGTGTGAAGAGAGCAGATATGGGAGTGGCTAAAGGTATTTTTACCTTCTTTGAGCTTTAAGATGGTCTTCTTCATTTTTTCTGCAGCTTCAGGAAAGACAGCCTTATAGGACCCTGGAGAGGGAGGCGGGGCCTTTGTATAAACAGCCTCTCCTAGTGTAGTCAACAGGATTCACTGTGCTGTCTTTTGCCTCTCCCCCACCCGTCTCCCCCATAACCACATTGTTCTCTCCCTTCCCAATGGTCCCAGGGAAACGCGTACAAACCCTCCAAGGCTCTCTTTCTGCCTCCGGACTCCAACAGGATAGAAACCATTTATCTTAGTGGAAAGAGAGGATAATGATCCAGATCCTCTCCAGCTTACCAGGTCCTACAGGGCTGCCCTGGTTTCCTCTTTCCCTCCATCCTGTTAACTTCCTTCATTTAAAAACAGCCACAGTCCCCAGTACCCCAGGGCCTTTGCACAGGCTCGTTCTCATACTCATTCTCCATGTCTTAACATCTGTCATCTCAAGGGTTTGGCTCATCTAGGACCTCATCAAACTCCGTTTCTGGTCTCTCATCATGCCCCATTCACATCATGTGTGGGCTTCACCAGTTTGCAATTGCATATATGCATATATGTAAATTTGATGCAAATCTGATTACAGATATGTATATGTTTTTATAGATCTGCTAATGACAAGTCCACCCTTTTGGTCTATTTTAAAGAAATACTGTATTAATTCTTTGAGAATTTCATACATTGATACATTGTATTTTAGATCAATTCCCTATTCCTCCCCCTAACTTTTTCAGCTCTACCTCCTAGTCCCCCAACTCTACTTCCAATCCCATGTCCTCTTTCTTTGCTTTAAATAATCTACAGAGTCTAATTTATGCTGTCCATCTACTCACAAACATTGAACCATCCACTGGAGCATGGTTAACCCACCAGGAGCCAATCTTTAAAGAAAACTGACTCTCCCTCCCCCAGGAGCCATCAACTTGTCCAAAGCTCCTCCGTCAGGGATCGGGGCTGATGACCCTCTCCCCTCCATTTCAGAATGCTGACTGTTGTGCAGGCCACAGCGTCTTCTGTGAGTTTGTAAGTGCGGTGATCCTGTCATGCCCAGAAGAGTTGAACCCTGGTCCTCCTTCACCTCTGGCTCTTACAGTCTTTCTGCCCCCTCTTCCTTGATGGTCCCTGAACAGAAGTACATCTCTTAAGTAATTTTCCTTTAGAACAGAACCTTCAGAACTCACAAAAGGACTCTGAGTCTTACAAACAGCTCAGTAGATGTGTAAATTCTAGAATCCAGCTGAACTGTAGACCACCAGCAGTGTCCTAGAATCCAAATGCATCCCCCGGTGTGATTTACCCAGCCAGGAGAGTGGGTGTTTTGTTGTTGTTGTTTTTTTAATGAATTGGTTGCCAACATAAAAAACTGAGACAGTCACATAAAACGTTTAGCATCTCTTTTAAAAAAATGGTCAAGGGGCTGGAGAGATGACTCAAGGGTTAAGGACACATACAGCTCTTGCAAAGAATCCTAGCTCAGTTCACAGTATCCACATTGAGTGGCTCACAACTGCCTCTAACTCCAGCTCCAGGGGAACTGACGTCCTCTTCTGGCCTCCAAAGGTAAGGCACTCATGTGCACCTATATCCACACACACATATGCACATCATCTTTTTTTAAAACACAAGGAGCGCTGTGAAGCAAGAGGCCACAGCGAAACAAGAGGCCACAGCTCCTTAAGGCAGTGATTATCAAGTCAGTGGCCTCTGCTCCCTTTAAACAGGGCATGGCTGCCTCATGTCCCCAGCCCCAGCCTCCACTCAATTCTACTTCACTCTGGCTCCTTGTTCTGAGTGCCTGATGTTGACGTCCCACCACTGTATTGTCCTCCAGGGTGTAAGGTGGAGCTTTTCAGAGACTAGGGGCAACTGAGCTGATCTTAGAAATCAGGTATCTGGCAGTATCCCCTACCATTCACGTGTGAATTCTGGTTCTCAAAGAACATTACTGTACCTGGAAACAGCATCCCAGAGAAGCCAAAATGAGGTCATCTGGGTGGACTCTAAGTGTAGTGTGATGGTTAATCTTGATTGTTAACATGGTAGGATTTAGAGGTGCCATGGAGACAAACCTCTGCACCCTCAGACTGTGGCCCATAATAAACCTTTTCTCCCCTAAGGTGAAACTGTCAGGTATTCTGTCACAGCGATGAAGGGAATGACCCAAACACATGAATGAAATGGTCAAAGAATGAAGGAAAAAAAAAAAAAAGGCTCAGCGTAATGGCGCATACCTTTAATCTTAGCACTTGGGAGGTAGAGCAGGTGGATCTCTGTGATATCAAGGTCAACCTGCTCTACAGCAGGCAATACACTCATACACACAAAATACAACTCATAAATATTTTTTTTTAAAAAGGCACGGGTTCAAACCCCAGCCCCCACATGGCAGCTAACAACCATCTGTAACTCCAGTTCAGAGGATCTGATGCCCTCTTCTGGCCTCCTCAGGCATTGCACACACAGGTGCATTTACATACACACAAGCAAACCACTCATACAATATAAAATAAAAATAATCCCCCCTCCCAATAATTTTTAATGGCACAGAGCATTGCAGAGGGGAGCTACTATGAAGAGGTTAAGGAAGCCACATGTGGCGGCTCACGCTCCTGGCGAGGGAGGATCTCAAGTTTAAGGCCAGCTTGGGCTATGTAGTTTAACTCTTGTCTTAAACAAAAAACACCTCACAGCTGTAAATCCCAGCACTGGGGAGATGGAGGCAGCCTAAGCTATATAGTGAGACCTTCTCACAAAATAAGAAAAATAAAAATTAGGGAAAGGGTTCAAGGTCATATAGCCACAGGTTATATAACCATTCACACATCTTTTCTCTTTTCTAAAATATTTGTGTCTGTGTGTGTACTTGTGTGGGTACACGTATCTGCACACCCACAGAGATCAGAAGAGGGCATCGGGTGTCCTCCTCTGCCTCCCTCTGTCTATTCCTTTGAGGCAGGATCTCTTCCTGAATCATGAGTTCATGTTTTCTCAGACGGACGGCAAGCCCCGGCAAGCCCTTGTCTTCACCCACCTTGGAGCTGGTATTTACAGGTAAGAGATGCCTGGTGGGTTCTGTGGATGCTGGGATCCAAACTGCAGTCCACATGACTGCCCAGCAGGTACCCTTAACCACTGAGCCATCTCTCTCTCTCTAGCCGCTTTCTTTTCTGGTTTTGTTTTGTTTTTTTGAGACCAAGTCGCATGTAGCCCTGACTGGCCTCAAACTTCCGACATAGCTGAGGATGACCTTGAAATTCTGATCTTCCTGCCTCCACCTCCTAAGTGATAGGATTACAGGTGTGTGTGACCATGCCTGGATTACTATTACTACCATTATTATTAGCATTGCATTAGAAGCAGGGGCTTCCTGTAGCCCTGATTGGACTGGAACACCCTACGTAGACCAGGCGACCAGGCTGGCCTCAAAGACGCCCCTGCCTCTGCCTCCTGAGTGCTTTGGATTAAAGGTAACACCACTAAACTTGGTATTTTCTTTTCTTTTCTTTTCTTTTCTTTTTTTTTTTTTTTTTTTTTTTTTGGTCTTTTTGAGACAGGGTCTCCCTGGAGGCCCAGCTGTCCTGGAACTCACTATGTAGACCAGGCTGGCCTCAAACTCACAGAGATCCGCCTGCCTCTGCCTTCCGAGTGCTGGGATTAAAGGCGTGTACCACCACGCCCGGCTATTTTCATTTTTTAAACCTAATTTTTAATGTGTGCCCATTCGTGTGCGTATGTGCCCACACGCGTACATGTGTATGCAAAGACCAGAGGGTGATGATGGGTGCCTTTCTCAGTTGCTCCCCACCCTCAGACCAGGGGTCCAGACCCCAGCCCTCCTCCCTCAGACCCAGGGTCCAGACCTGGCTAAAACTGTTTTTGAGACAGAGTCTCATGTTGCCCAGGCTGGTCTCAAACTCCACATATAGATAAAACTAACCTTGAACTTCTGGTCCACCTGCCCCTGCCTCCCAAGTGCTGGGATTATAGTGTGTGCCACCGCACCAGGTTTATTTGGTGCTGGGAGATGGAACTCCAGGACTTTGTGCATGCTAGGCCAAGTACTCTACCAATTAAGCTACATCCCTAACCTTAAACTCAGAATCCTCCTGCCTCACCTTCCTAAGATCAGGATGAGAAGCCTGCACCACTGCAACTGGCTTAGGTACAGTTCATGTTTCAGATTACTGGATTCAGGATGCTCACCCTGTACACACACTACCCACTCTGTGGTATATAAACAGAGATGTTATCATTTGTACCAGCACAAAGAGGCAGCACTAGTCGGGTTCAATCAAATAGAAGTCATCCTTATGCGTGCATGTGACTGTACTTCTGGTCCAGCTCAGTCCTAACCTCCCCATCTGGAAAGTGGGGCTTTAGAATGTCATCATACAGGGCCAGTAGGGGAATGTTTCTCTTTTAGGGGAATGATTAGCATAAACTATTCCACAGACACAGCATGCCCATGCACCAGCAAGCCTGGCAATCATACCCTGATCTTCCTTCTCCTCCACCCTCCCTACCCCACACACTCCACTGAGTCTTCAAGGAGACCTTACCTGTACCACCTCGACTGTCTGCTCACTATTTACAAACTTCTCACACGTGTCTCCACCTCTGCACTGGCCCCATGTACTGCTAGATGATCTTACTAAATCCTACATCAGATCCTATCTGTGCAACATTCTCTAACAATTACACTATCTGCAAACTCTAAGTCATTCCAAGGGTCTACAAGTGTGATTCTCTAAGACCATCATCATCATCATCATCGGCATCCACGTGTTTATCTGGGGGCCTCACCAGGGAATGACTGGTCAGAAATGGAGAGCCACACCTAGCCCCTCACTGGGGGATCCTAGGCAGGGGCTCCACCACTGAGCCACACCCCAGCCCCTCACTGGGGGATCCTAGGCAGGGACTCCACCACTGAGCCACACCCCAGCCCCTCACTGGGGGATCCTAGGCAGGGCCCTACCCCTGAGCCACACCCCAGCCCCTCACTGGGAGCATCTACTGCCCACACCCTCAGCGTCCTACTTTACTTCCCCTTTACTGTCCATGGTCCAGCCTTTAATATAAGCAACTCCAGAGCAGACCATTTGCAGTTTGGGTCCCAGTTGTGTCCCCACTGGTCATTCTGGCACATTCCATAAGCCTCTGATGAACCAACTGGACCATCTTCTCCCCTTGTCCAGTCTTGCCCTCTGTAGAGTCTCAGTAAGTCTGTCTACACTCAGAGACCCCGTTCTTCCTCCACTATTAGCCCTCTGTGGCTCCCCAGCTGCCTCGGCCTTACGTCCCCTTGACTGAACCCACCCTCCCAGTGTCCAGGAACCTCGTAGAGGTCACCAGGTCCAGTCACAGTCAGTATCAGAACATGCTCCTCACCTGCCCCTGTCCAGCTCTTGCGCCCCATCTCCAGGGATGATGCTTCTGCCCATACAGGCAAGAACCCAGACCCCAGACACCATCCTATAACCCCACCTCTCTCCTCCCCTGACCTCCAAACAGTTCCATCAGACCCAGGCCTGGCTTTCCTTTCCCTAGCCCCTTTCTCTTCATCATGACCCAGACCTGTTGTCTAGCCTCCTGGTCTCTGACCCCAGCTGGTCTCCACTCTCCCTCTCTCCAAGGCTCTGCCCCACAGAGGATCCAGAAAGGTCTTCCACATCCAGGTCTGCACTTGGTCTTTCCCAACCTTCCTGGAAAGGTGACAGGCCAAGTGGGAACAGAGGGTATTTCCCGGAATGCTGTACTCCTTGCTCACAGGTTCCTTGGGTCTCCCTTTTGGACTGGGAACACACCTCCAAAAAGGAGGGATCTATCCATTCAGGGAGTGCCACTATGGAGAATAATTCTGTGTTCACACGACAGCACTCCCTGAATGGACAGAGCCCTCCTTTTGGGGGCTCTCTGATATAAAACTTGGTGAGAACAAAGTGAACACTGAAGAGGTAGAGAAAGCAATGCCTTGATGGCACAGACACTGGTTTATCCTCAAAGAAGAGCACCAACCATCTGACACTTCCATATTACCAGTGGCATTCCTAGAGAATGTGCGCCCTGTGGCTGGGGAGACCAGCGATTACTGCTAATGATGTCTCTCTGAAACACATCCCTAGGGCCTCGAGGGCCTTCTGCACTGCCAGTGTCTCCCATGTCCCCACAGGGGTCTACCCATAACTCTCCATGTCCATCACCTAAATGGCTGATTCTATTGTTCCTACCTATGAGTCTCACACATTGCATTCAAGGGTGGCTTTGTTAGCTGTGAGAAGTATGTGTGCTGGTCAAGGGGATGAGGCCTGTCTCAGAAGGGACCACTCCCTCCCAATGAGCTCTGACCACCCTAGAAAAAGAGGATGTCCCACTCTGGGGAATGAGGATATGCCACCCTGGAGGCAAGATTTCCCACCTTAAAGATGGGTAAGTGAAGGCCAGGCAAGGGGCAGGGCCATATCCAGATCTCAGAGCCAAGACAGTAGGAACCACAGCCAGGTCCACTTGACCCTCCCAGGACTTTGGACCACTGATTGCTCCTTTGCTCCCTTTGATTCCTTCCCATCTGCACCTCCATGGATCTCCACAACAAATAGCCCAACTCACACAGGTTCCCAATATCACTCAAGATCACTGTCCCAACCAGGAGCTCTTATCCCTTTTCACACAATCCTGGGGGGGCCCCGCCCAAACTCCATTAGGACTCACCCTGGGCAGCAGCCACTTCCTGGAGGGAGAGTATCATCTGTGCAAATGCGTCATGAAGGTGGCCCCTCTCCTCATAATCTGAGGGCAGATGAGAGGCAGGCTGAGACAGCAACAGAGCCCAAACCTGCTGCCAGTGCAGACTTCCTAATGTCTGACCTGTGGCTGGAAGTCTCTGTCCCCCACCCCGGGGTCCATGTCTATGTCCCCCACTTTCTGGATGCATTCTCGATGATTCATTCTCATTCACATCGATCCATCTATTCATTCATTCTCGGTCTCTCCACTCTCTAGGTCTCTCTCTCTCTCTCTCTCGCTCTCTCTCTCTCTCTCGTCTCAGCCCACCTGGGTTTCTGTCCCCCTGGGTCTCTGTCCCTGTGTCTGTCTGTCTGTCCCAGTACCCAGCTCTAGGTCTCTGCCTCCACTGTCTCTCCCTGGATCTGTCAGCTTCTGTGGGTCTCTGTCCCTCTCCCTGCGGGTCTGTCCGTCTCTCTCTGGATCTCACTTGAAAGTCTCCATCTCTATCATGTCCCCATCTTACGGAGTCTCTGTGACAGCCGCCCCCCACCTCTCTCTCTCTGGGTCTGTCCCCCCTTCTCTTTAGATCTCTGTCCCCCACCTGTGGGTTTCTCTTTCTAGGTCTGTCCCCCACCCCAGTCTCTAGTCCCTCTTCTCTGGGTCTCTGCTCCCCTCTGACCACCCCCTCTCTGGATTCTACACTCTGTCTCTCTCATTCTCCCTCTCTGGGTCTCTGCCGCTCTCTCTGGATCTGTCTCTCTCTGGGTCTCTGTCTCTGTCTCTCCTTAAGTCTCTTCTCCTATCTCTGGATCTGTTTTCCACTCTCTGGGTCTGTCTCCCTCTCTCCCTCTCCCTCTCTGGGTCTCTGCCCCTCTCTCAGAATCTCTGTCTCTCTCTGGGTCTCTCTGTGTCTCTCTCAGGGTCTCTGTCTCTCTCTCTCTCTCCAGGTCTGTCTCTCTGGGTCCGTCTCTCTCTCTGGGTCTCTGCCTCTCTTTCTCTCTCTCTCTCTCTCTCTCTCTCTCTCTCTCTCTCTCTCCCTCTCCTGATCTCTCTCTCCCTCTCTCAGACCAGGGTATCTGCCTTTCTCTCTCTGGGTCTCTGTCTCTGGGTCTGTCACTGTCTCTGGGTCTCTGCCTCTCTCTCTCTCTCTCTCTCTCTTCCCCCCCCCCCCCCCCCCCCCGGGGTGCCTACTTCCTGTCTCCCCTCTCTGTCATGATCCTGTCTTGGGCCTTCCTTCCACGCTCAGTGATTGTCTCCCAGCCCCAGACCTCCCCTCCCCCTGACCCCAAGGCCCTGGTTCGATGGGCATCTCCTTACTTATTTCTACATCTGAGAGACCCCCAAAGGCTGCCGTGAGGGCCTCCTCACACCGCCCCACCTGGGGGCCCTCTGTGTCCACAAACATGTGGCAGAGGCGAAGGCGCTCGGAGTAGCCGGTGAAGCACAGGAGACAGGCCCACACCGATGCCCTGAACACCAGCACGGCCAGCAGGGCAGTGCCCACTGCCAGGCCCACAAGGGCCATCACAAGGGTCTTCGGGTCTAAGGAGACACTTGTGACCTTTATGAGGTCACAGTGAGGGGGAGGGGCTGCAGTCTTGACTTCAGAGATTGAGTCTCAGCTGGTTGGTCAAATGTCAGACTGGGTCCAAAGGAAGGCTATCAGGGGTCACCAGCAATCCCTAAGTTTGTGGCTGAGCCAGACGCCAGGCTCCCAAGAACCTCACCTGTGACCTTGGATGTGCTCACAGGTTAAAGGGTCTCAGGGACCCAGAGGCCGGCAGTGCAGCTATGGTGGCCCAGGCAGGCCGTCTTCCCCAGAGCGGGGAGGGAAGAGATGAAGACATATATATAAAGGCCCTCTGAGCCCAGGATAACAGAAAGAGAAACTAGGGACCTGTGCACAGTGTCCCAGCTGAAGAAACAGAAGCTTCTAGAACCCCAGAGCGGGGGCAAGGGACAGAGAAAGCAACAAGGATCTTCTGAAGGCCAAGTGAAGATGCTGAGGACACAGGACCTGGGGTCCCCACCGCCCGGTCCCGTGCAAGGCGCAGCCTGGGGAAAGCTAGGAGGCCGTATAGTGATCTCCTCGGGTGTCTTCCTCAACTATACAACCTCCTACCTCAGCCCGGGGGGCGCGGCAGGTGGACAGACTGACAGATGGACAGACGGGGCCAAGACCGCTAGGGAGGGTGGGGAGGGCCGGGGAGGTCCCAGCCGCGATGGTGAGCCCCCGACACGGACCCACAGACACGAGCTTGTGTGCGGCGAAGGCCCCGCAAGGTCGGTTCTACGGGTGGGTGCCAGGACCCAGGAGTCAGGGCCCCCGGCCCCCTCCTCCCCAAGGAACCCAGGAATCCAGATCCCACCTTCCTCCCTATCCCAGGAATCCAAACTCAACCCTTCTCCCTCAATCCAGGCCCCATCCTTCCTCCCTCAGACCCAGGGTCCAGGCCCCATCCTTCCTCCCTCAGACCCAGGGTCCAGACCCCAGCCTCCTCCCTCAGACCCAGGGGTCCTCCCCAGCCTCCTCCCTCAGACCCAGGGGTCCAGACCCCAGTCCTTCTCCTTCAGACCCAGGGTCCTCCCCAGCCTCCACCCTCAGACCAGGGGTCCAGACCCCAGCCCTCCTCCCTCAGACCCAGGGTCCAGACCCCAGCTCTCCACTTGCAGACCCAGGGTCCAGTCAGGCACCTCCCTCCTGGAGGACAGACCTAACTTCCTGGGTGCAGGAGGGAGGGCGCCTCACCTGACTTTAGTAACACACTCCCTCCCTCCCGCATGCACAGGTTTCAGACCCAGGGCTGAACTCATAGGCTCCTGGGTATCTCAACTCCTCAAAGCCTCCCTGAACACTCTTCCCTTCTTCCTTTCGGGGCCATGACACCACCTAGAGCCACAATCTCCTAGACTGCTCTCAGCACTACCTGCACCCCAGAGCCTGCCCGAAGGGAAGCCAGCCACTAGGTCAAAGCCAGCCCGCTGCAGGTGGGAGGAGCCCTGGGAGCAGGACCCACCCTGGAGCCCAGAGCCCAGAACTGGTCCAGAGGGAAGCTCCGGGTCCCAGGCTCCAAGTCCATCTTCCTGTTTCCCTTTCTCCGCCCATTTTTTTTTTTTTTTTTCGGTTTACCTTGTTCTTTGAAATGTTCTACCTTACCTGACCAGGCTCTCCCGCCCTATCTGCACGCCCGGTCCTCACTGGGTCCCCGGTCTGTCGGTCCTCCCCATCCCCCCTCCCCTTCCTCCCAGTCTCCTCCTTTTCTCTATCTTCTCCAGTCTCCTCCGGCTTTGTGCCTTTTTCTTGGTCTCTGAATCCCCCCCCCACCCCCGTTTTCCAGTCTAGCCTCCCTTCTCTCCCCCCACTCATCTCTCCCAGTCTCCTTCTCTCTCCCTGGATCCCGTTCTCCCTCTCTTTCCTCCTTCCTTCCCTCCCAGGTCCCCTTCTCTCCCCCTCCCTCCCCTCCCCCATCTTCTCTCTCTTTCTCCTTCCCTCTCTCCCTCCCTGTCGCTGCTCTGAGCCAGGTCTGGAGCTGGGGGTGGGGTGGGGGGTGGTTCGTGAAGGGGCCCTAGGCTGGGGTAGCGACCTGCTGAGGAGGGGGAGGAGAGGAGGGAAGGGGGCGGAGGAGGAAAGAGGGAGGCGGGGGGGCCAGAGACGGGTCTGCAGCCTCAGCTCCCGTCCTTTCCCTCCTTCTTCCCTACCTCCCAGACCCTCCGGCGGGGGCGAGAGTCAGGCCAAGGTGGGGAGGAAGGGGAAGGGAGGAGGCTGCCCACCCCCTCCAACCAACCTGGCCCAGAGCCCAGGCCTGGGTTCCCAGCATGCCCCGGGGCTGCCTGGGGCCTGGGGGGGGGGCGGTGAGGAGAGCCGGGAAGCTAGAATCTTAAAGATTCTCGAGACCTAAGCATCTCCCCCAACATCCTAGCCAGTTTCTCCTGGAGGGAAACTGAGGCTCACAGAGGCGGCTCAGGGCTGGTTGAAGGTCGCTGCCCCGGGCATAGGTGCAACTCCCTTGGGTCCACACGCCTGCTTTAAAGGTGGGGTAGTCACTGGACTTCCCCCCTCCCCCTCTTTGTGGACCCTAGGGAGCCCCTAAGGGTCAGAGAGCAGACCCAAACAGTCTGGCACCATAGCAACCAGCTGGCCCCGCCCCCTTAACCCCTGGAGGGCTGGACTCCAGCTGGGGCTGTGGTGGGGGGGGGCTCCCGGGTTCCGGAGGGAAGGAGCCCCCACCGCCCCCAGTACAGGCAGTTAAATATTAAGATGCCTAGGGCACTGACTCTTGGGTTCTAGGGAAGAGGATGGAGGGAACCGTCTATGCTCCTGGGGAGAAGAGACCTGGTGGCTGGACCATGGCCTCCCGGGTCTAAGTGAAGAATCACCTGGGGCAGCCTGAGCTAACGGCAAGCTAGGGCTGGAATTGAGGGGGAAGGGGCTGGAAGGTAAGACTCTTAGGTCTCAGGGAGGAGGGGCCGGGGCCTGGAATCCCTGGTCCCCTGGGGAACCTGGACGCTGGGCCTCTCCTCCTCCAGACATCCCCTGCCCCCGGCGCTGACCCGGGCCCGTCTGGCAGCCCAGACAGCCTCCCCCTCCTCCTCAGCCCCCTCCCACTCGCACGGCTCACCCTTGACCCCGCCGAGCCCCGCAGCCCTATCTCTACCCTTCCCCCTCCCCTCCAGCCAGACGTTAACCCTTCGGCCGCCGGAGGCACCTCCAAAACCAGACTGTTCTTCCTGCACCTCCCCGAGAAGCCTCGGGCCTCTCTGGTCCCCAGTCCTTTCCACCCTCGGATCCTGCATCCTCCCTCCCGAATCCAGGACATCCTCCAGGCCTCGGAGGCAGCCTCGGGACCCCAGAATTCGGATCTTCACCCCCACCCCCCATCCATCAAAGATTCAGGACCCCCCCCACTTCACCACCACCCAAACCCAAGCCCCCAGCGGGCTGCCTCCTCCGGCCGGGGGGACACACAGGTACCCTGGAGATCGGCCCGGCTCCCCATCCCCCTCGAGTTCCGCAGACTCACGGCTCCGCGGCTCCAGCGTCGCGGGGACCCGGAGTCCTCGGCCAGCCCCAAACCCAGGTCTCCATCCTCCTCTCCCGCCTCCGCCGCCCGCGGCCTCTCCCCTTCCTCCCGCCAGCCCCGCCATCCTCCGCCCCCGGTCTCCGGCTGCCTCCGGCCGGTGCCTCCTCCCGGCTCGGCGCAGGGGCTCCCCCGCCTTGGACCTCGCGGGCAGCTCGGCCTCAGACCGGCCCCCTCCCCGGGGGGCCCCCGCCCGGCCCCTCCCCACCGCCCGGCCCAGTCCGGCCTGCCTGCCCGCCCCCCCTCCTGCCCCGGAGCTGGCCCCGGTCCAGGGGAAAAAATTCCATCCAGCCCCGGGGAGGAGGAGCGGGTGGAGGAGGGAGCGGGGAGGGGAGGCCGGGCCAGGGGAGCATGACGCCGCGAGCTGGGAAGGGACAAAAGAGGCCGGGAGGCAGTGGCGGCAGGCTCCCTCCCTCCTCCTCCCCGGCCGGTGCAGGCTGGAAGCTCCGCGAGTTCCCTCCATCTCTCCTCCCTTCCAGTCGCTCGGACCTCCTCCCTCTTATTGCCCCCCCCCATCCTTCTTTCCGGCCTGTCTCTGCATCTGTCCTTTC